ACTAGTCAACATATATGGACATTTGAAAGCAGCCGTGGAATTTAAGGAACGCATATTACAATAATATGACAGAAAGAGAACATATTTGTTAATCCCTTTAACCCATATATTTCGTTGTATATGCCCGCACAACATTAATTCATGCAGAAAGCGTTACAACCCGAAATTCGCATTCAAACGAAATACTTGGTTCAGTAGATGGGTTTTCGATTCAAATTAAATTTTGACAAGACCATAACATTGACCATTACCTCAACGGTCACCTTTTAAAATCACCGCTTCTTTTGTTGTTTATTTTCAATGACGTCATTTCTGCTAATTTTAGAACAGCTCGAAGGTAATTAAAAATGAGGTTGCAGCCGATAAATGTTGGCCCTGAGGGTTTACGCAGTATATATTGGACAGTAGTGGGGAAACTACCGGTTCTGGCGACTTTTTGCTTATTTTAACCCTATGGGGAAAAGGTAACCTCCTGAGAGGTAGCCTCCCGATGTGAGGCTAATTTCTATGACGTCATCATTAGGTATTACGACACTAATTAATTAAATTAATTAATTTCTTTGGAGGATAAGGTCATTATAAAGTGTTACTAATTACGGCTAATTACATGTTGATATTGATTAATGTACAGATGTCTTTTTTTTGTTTGTTTTTTGTATCGATTAAATGTGTAGGTAAACGGTTCTCTGTGACGTCATGCAAGTGTACTATTAACTGTTTCATATTAGGTGTAGTTATTGTTCAGTAGGACCACAATTGAATAATAAAAACATTTCAGATAATTATATTATTTAATATCTCCGTCAATTTAGACAGACATGGGTCGGAGAGCCATCCACATGGTGTCTTTACAATATAACACAATCACTTTAACCAATTTATACATAAAAGAAATAGAGAGTCGTATATCACTCAACAGTATCTCTAACCTCACGAAAGGGCCAACAGTATGCTATCTTTCGTACAGGGGTGTAAACCTTCGAGACTTGAAGTTAGTCTTTCCGGAATAGTTAACTCTCTCAAATATCGCGAGCTTTAATCCAAGAGTTGAATTTCTTTGACCAATGTAACCATTTCACATGATATTGCTTGTTTCGATATGTGGAAAGTACAGTTTAGCTTTCATCATCAACATCCTCCTCATCTTCATCCTCCTCTCCTTCCTCTTCCTCGTCATCATCATCATCGTTACTATCTTCGCTTTCATAACTATTGTTAGTTTCGTTGTCAATAACTTCATCTAGATAAATTTCCAACTGAGGTTTATATTTCCTGATAGCTACTTTGATGGCTTTCTCGTAGTAGATACTGAACCAAACTGCTATATCTGGACAAAAACTGATCTATATCCTCGTCTTTTAGTTTCCGATTTGCCTTACGTCTGGCATGTTCTTCACTCATGTTACCATCCATGTATTTATCAAGTTTATCTGTCCATACATCTTCATTTGCCTCTCTAGCAAGTCCGGCTAATTTTATAAAAGCCGTATCCTCCCCATCTTCAATATCAATTTCGTTTACACGAGACTTCTTCGAGGGTATGTCTTTTTCTTCATTCCCCCTTTTTCTTTTTAAATCATTATTTTCTGGGCACCCCCTATTCATGTGTCTAGCTAATTCAGGGACGCTTTCAAAGACTACACCGCAATCATCACATGAAGGCATGATTTCTCTCTCGTCTGGTAAATACGTCTGTTCACTTTGAAATGATTCTTCAAATTGAGGTGGATTTGGTTCTTTTCTGCTTATATACTCTTCAGTCACACCTCCACCAATCATGTGTTCTTGTTTTCGAATATATTAAGTTTTAGTCTGTCGTCTTCCAATATATTCTGTTTCAGATCAATGAATAGGCTCCCATATGGTTGCTGTGTTCCCTCTCTGTACTTATTCATGAATTTCTTTGGATTATTAGGATACATCTGTCTAGCAAATATGGCTGGTCCAATTTGATCACGCGGGTTTTTGAAAAGGACTATATACTGGCTATTGATGCTCATGGTTCGACTCTCCTTTCCCTTCGAGAACGCATTCTGCATTATACAAGCTACACTTAGGTTCTTGTGATGGCTGCCCTCCACAAAGAGTTCACAAACATCCTTACTATTGGTGGCGTCTCTCATTAAATCGTCTAGGATGATTAAACTTGGATATCTAGAGTCTATGAATGAGTCATCATTCAAATTTTCAGGTAAACCTTGAACAAACACAATGTTTTTAATGGTCTGCTTCAGGTCACTAAATAATGGCTGCCACCGTTTATAACACCATATAATCCTATCAGGTGATGGTTTTATCATAGTCCGTGCTCGCTCCAATAATGTTTTCATCCAAAACGTCTAACCTGAACCAGTAGGTCCAGCCAATATCATAGTGAACGGATGATGTAGTACCACATGCTGTGGTGGTGGTGGTGGTGGTGGTGGTGGTGGTGGAGGTGGAGGTGGTGGTGGTGGTGTTGGTGGATACGCATGACTGCTCGGTGGATACGCATGACTGCTCGGTGGATACGGATGACTGCTCGGTGGATACGGTTGATTGATTTTGTGTTTTTTCCTATAATGTCTCAACATAGCATTTTTTCTCGAAAATTCTGTACCACAATCTGGACAAGTATTAGACATCTTAGAGAGCTCTTAAAACACGTCCTCTCCCTTCAAATGATAGACGTAGAGTAATTGAAATATTGACATACATCCTAATTATATTCTCCAATGACCATAGGCTAAACTTTGTATCCCATCATCTAGTAAGTATCTTTTGTCATCATAAGGGGATAAGCCAAGTTTGTTGATGGATATATTATATAACTTGTGGTTGTATGAACGTATCTGTGTCATGGTAGACATGTGGATTTCTTTATTGAACAAACTTTGTTTATAATGTTCGTGTCTTGTGTCATGTTTGATCACACTCTTCTTTATACCCTTTGCTGTCTTCTTCTCACAGAGTTGTTTATCCTCCTCATATATCAATGAGTACATCTTCGACTTGAGACCAACGAATTCCTGTATGGGAATACCATGTGTTTCGTCCTTCATCTTCCCTAGCACCTTTTTATTTAATGTGCTATAAAGCCGATGTTTAGGGTTATATTCTGACGTATCAAACAAGTGTTTGTCATCCAACATATCTTGATATATATCATCAGTGTTGATGTCGTAGCATAGTGAGTCTGTGTCCGTAAACAAGAGAGTTGCTCTAGACCCATATTTATCCTTCATATAATTATAATGAAAATCGTACATAAGTGTCTTTGACAAATCGAGTATAGTGAATCCCACGTAGATGGGTCTGTTTAAGTATAGCCGTTGTTTCAGCATGTGAACAGCCACCAAGTCATCGTTGAATATTTTGAAGGCATGAAATGTTGGTTTGCTGATTAGTTTTCTGGCTTTTGATTGGTCATTCAAAAGTTTTGTATCTGTTCTCTTCCCTTAAATTTTCCATTGTCTTTCCAAAGACTGCATTATTCATAAGTTTAAAAAAATCTTTCTCAAACTCGTTTATTGCAAGCTTTCTCTTTTCTGTGTTAAAATCGATGTAGGTTTTCAACCAGGGTCGTTGTTCAAATACTATTACCCTATGGATTTTTGTCAGCTTCATTCCTAGAGATAGATATTGCTTCAGGTTTCTATAATGGACCACGTATTTTTCCTTAGGATATAAATTTGGTATCAATTTTTCATATCATATCATCTGAAACCTTTAATTTTCGGGAGCGAGTGAATATTCGTTGTGGTGGTCGTGTAGTTCCCTTGGATATTCTAAGTCAACTTCTAATATATAACCATTTTCACTGTCATCTGCAATGTCACTTATGTGTAGGTTCTCAATTTCACAATCGTTTAGCCATCTGAAACCTTCAACTGGAAGTGCCTGGGACATAGCCCATCCGTATAAGTTGTTTGCGTCTAGGTACATCACGTGATTATTGGGTTGATTTGGATCGTAGTCTGGTACATGTTTATTGTTAGCTTTGGCATGGCGATGGGATATCATTGATATTCCCCCTCTTAAACCTTTTTCTACAAACAAATGCATGTCTACGTCTGTGAGTAACTCCAACTTGACACCTGTCATTTTCAAGGCAGCCTGCCAGGCTAAACCGGGTGACGTATAAAAATGTGCAGCATCCAGTCCATAGTAGTTGAGGCAAATCTGTCTGAAATTTTCAAAGACGTCAGCTAATGCAAGGACGTCTGATAGTACGTATAAGTCGTGGTACTGTCCGAGATTCTGTATGTTAAACAATTGCCATACTTGTTGTGCATGTGCATATTCCAGCGAGGTTTACCTTCTCCCGATAGTGTACTGTAAAAATTGTCAATCGGTGGCAGTTGACATTCTGAAAACTTTGCCTCAGAATCAAAATACTCGTATGGGTATACTTGTTTTCGCAGAAGCAGGCATATCTGTTCTTCTCCAAAGTGGCTTGTCATGTGTCTAAATTTACTAGAACCTTCTTTTGCAAGGTTCTCCACGAGTTTTTGTAATGACGAAGACATGAACTGGAGCGAGTCTATAAAATCCATACATCCCAGTGAGAAAGAAATGTACTTTTCCATATTATTAGCGATACAATTCAGCTGCTTCCCTTCAACTTTGCCAATAGCTTGCATGATTAAATGACTATCATATCCTCTAAGGTAATGAAATACCACTGGAATTCGACCTTTAAACTTGTAGTTGATATTACAGTCGTTATGAGCCGCCCCTCGAAATTTTCCGGTCACGTGACAATGATCTCGAACTCTATTTTCGGCTAGTTCTTTTTTACATATGTGACAAAGGGTTGCCTTCTTAAAGGATTGCCAATCACTCCCGGTCATGATCATGGGTTCGCAATGTTTAAATTTCTGTTCGATATTATCCTGCTCTTTCACCATACATTTAACAAACTGATTAGCAGCATCGGCACCGCGATATACTACTGGTTCATTTGACGTTTCAGGTGTTAGACCAACCACTTTGTATGCAAAGCCACATGGTATGTGTTTTGTAGTCTTTTTCGTCTTTTGACCATCTTCTTTTTTATCTAGGATTGGCTCTTGAAGACATTCGAAATCTGCGTAGATAATATATGGTACCTTTAGCTGTTTCCGAATATCTTTGTAATGTAACCACTTTGTCTCCTCATTTGGGAGTTCGATTTTCTGCGGTCCGTGGGTCTGGCAGTTTGGTAAATGATTGTTCAATATTCTTTCTTTTGTAAATCCATGTAAGCAATATGGACAGTAAAAATGCTTATGTTCAGAAGACTGTTGATCGCCCAATAGTCGATTTAGATTTTTAATCCAGCAGAAATGTGATTTTTTGCTATCTGATATCATGAGTAGATTTGCATGATGTTCATACCGATGTTTCGTAACATGTATAGGGAATACATCACCCTTGTCGAATCCAAAGACATTAATTGATATTTCATTCTGCTTTTCAAACTTTGAAATGTCGGCTAATTTCACAGGAAACATGATGTTTTCAAAATTCAAGCTGGATACGTGTTCCTAGTACTTCCAAACCCGCTCTCCATCACGTTTTCCTGGGTACTTTGCAGCCAGAATTGACCACATGAAACATTTGTTGTCATTGTTTTTTACATTGACTATTGCATGTTTAGATCTGAGTTTGATTGGAAGTGGAATATAACTTGCGCCTTTTAATGGTCTGTAACGTGCCATGTGTATGGTAAGATCTACCACTTTATCCACCGTCCAATTACTCCCTTGTTGCTGATATTCAATGAAAGATGTATACATCTTTTTGATAGATTCCTTCAATCCTTCATCTATATCCTCCAATTTTAAACTGGTCTGGCATTTTCCCCGGAAAGTTGGCTCTGCTGTTTCTATATTATCTACTTTTCGCCTGCTCATTTTAACCTTCATGGATAGATACCACTTCAATCCACCTCTTTCTTTAATTTTACACTTGATAACATCTTTAACATCATCATAATGGCTTTACAGGAATGACATTGGATCGAATTTATTTAATCCTTTTGCATCGATAGTATGTGTTTCAACAATATAAAAATAACAATTTTGTTCAAATGGAAATGAATTTTAGATTTAGGACAGTTAAAAAAAAAAAAAAAAAAAAAGAAAAGAAGAAGATATAAATACAGGAAATATCGCAACTGGATATGTTTACATTAATGGTCATTCGTTCGTGTACATAAAAACATCAGGTCAATGAGAACACATAGGGTGTTGATTTATATACATATATTATTAGTCAAGAATTTTATAGTAAAAGGATTTCAGTTTAAAAGTGAATATTTTCGAGGAAAAAATAAAGTTTATGTTTTGTAACAGGTAGGATATTAAACAATAGACAATTTCTTTATAACAGTATCTATCATCGAACACATTAAAATTAAATACTTGATAAATCTCATATTTGGAAGAATACTATTTAATTAAATTAATAATAAAATTAACTTTAACAATTTATAAAATATTCGTAGTATTTTCAACATGGCGACTAATTAAAATCGGATTGTTGACAAGTCTAAACATGCTATGATTATATCGTACAACAATGACAAGTTAACGCACGCTTTAAATGATTTAACATTATAAAATTCAAGATTTCAAAATTTTATCCCTTAAATATTTAGATGTAGAATAATATTTAATTCCAATAATATAACGACTTAATGATTTCAAGAGACCAACTTGAAATGTTTTACAATAATTCAATATGGCGGATTTATTGGCATGTATAAACATGTTAAAGGTCACTACGTACAATAATGGACAAGTTTAAACACACTT